AACCAGGAGGCGCAAATGCATGTCTTGGTGTTCGCCACCATGTCAAAATGTGGCATGAGCTAGTTTTTTTTTTTTTTTTTTAATTATAATTTCAGCAAGACTTACAATATATGTTCATAGGACTGTTGAACATCCGTGGAACCTCTGAACACCCTTTGTAGAACCAGAGAGTTCCACAGAACATAGTTTGATATGCTGTGACGTATTGGAGCCTCTGGTGAGGAAAAGAGGAAAGGACGGAGGTGGTTCTCCAAGCCATTGACAATTCGGTGACTTCAGACTTAACCTGGTCACAGTGCCTGTTGGCATCTCAGTTTCCCCACTTGCACAATGAGGTGGTGCATAGGAGTTCCCAAAGCACCAAATCCAATGGCAACAGAATTGCCTTGTATGCTATGATTCAGTTTAGGAAGGACATAATAAAGATTCTGCATCATGCCCTGGCCAGTTTGGCTCAGCGGTGAGAGTATCGGCCTGCAGACCGGAGAGTCCCAAGTTTGGTTCCTGCTAAGGGCATGTACCTGGGTTGCAGTTTGTCCCTGGCCCTGGTTGGTGTCGTGTGGGTGGCAACCACTCGATGTGTCTCTCTCACATCAATATTTCTTTCTCTCTCTCTCTTTCTCCCTCTCTCCCATCCCCTCTATCTGAAGATAAATGCAAAAATGTCCTCGGGTGGGAATAAAATAATAAATAAATAAATGTAACTGCCCCCCCACCCCCACACACAGAAGATTTTGCATCATAAACAGAGAAGACTACTTTCTCCCTTAGCCGCTGTTCAGAGCGCTTCCTCATGATCAGAGTCGTCATGGGAAGGCTCAAGATGTCCAGGCTGTGCTCTGAGTCTCCCTGTCAGGTATGACCAATGTTTCTGGCTGAGTAGTTGTTCTCTATTTCCCCTTTGTCTTGACAGACAAAAATAAGTTATACTATCCACCACATTTGACATGGCAAGTACTTAGAAATGTTAGCATTAGAAGGACTCTAAATATAATTTTAGCTAGTCTCATAGTCATTTAATTGAATAAGCATATATTCTTGAAACATTTCTGCTACCAAGATTATATAATTGCACCGGTCATGATTTTTATGTATCACTTATGTGCAATGGAAAGGACCTCCCTGTAGCCGGTTCTCCTTGGTTTTCCACAAAGGTAATATTTCAGTGCAGGTCACAAAAGCAGATTTTCACGGTTTCTGAGAAACTCTTCTGGTAAAAATAACTCATGCTAACTATAATGGTCCCTAGTTCCCTTCACTTTCCCAGCACCTTGTATCACGGGGCCTCCGGTGCTTACAGACACTCCCGGCCACGTGCCCACACTGCCGCGCCCTGCAAACTGCGGAGGGGCGCACACAGGGGGCACAGTCTGCTGTTAGGAGGATGGACCTGAGAATTGCTTGTGCAGTTCCCAGTTAGTTGGGGAATTGCTATGCCCTGAGTGTGGTGGGGGTGGGGGTTGGGGTGTCTCGGTGGCACATCTCCTTGGCATCCTGAATTCCACGCCCCATGAAGGGAAGCATGGCTGAAGCACAGGGCCAGTGGAGCCTCCTCCAAAGCATGAGGCCCAGGCCAGGGGGCCCTCTTGTCAAGTCTAAGGTATACATTGTAGCTATCCACATCTTAATTCTACCTTTAAAGAAATTGAAATAAACAACACTCTGTGCGGGTTGATGCATGGGGTTGATGCATGCCTGACTGTGTACTGAGCAGCCAGAACCCAATACTCCCTCCTGACACCCGAGTGTCATGCTGGAGGCAGCCCAGTAAAGTTAGGCGTCTCTAAAGGGCACTTAACCCCCCTCACCAGATGGAGGCAAGTTAAATCATGTGGACGGATGTTATTACACACCTACAGCGACAACCACAGTCCAGACTCACAGTGATTGTCCTAAATTAATATCTACCCAAAAGGCCAACTCCTTCAAGGATCTTACAGCCTGATAAATAAAACCTCCCAAATAATTACAAACAAGATGGAAAGCAGTATTATGAAAGACAGTAATAGAGGTTACTCCGAAATCAGTGAGGGAGAAAGGACAGATTAAGTTCTGCAGTGAGTACCAGAAGGGAACATCTGAGTCAGGCTTTGGAAAATAAGTAAATATCAGCATTCTTTATGCAGTGAGATGTCAGTTTCGAATCAGTTAATTTACAATTCCTTTAACATTCCACAGATTAAGTCGATTCCCAGTTCCTATATGACATAACCCACAAAAAAATGTGTATTTTCAGGAAGTAGAAAAATAAATACCAGTTTAGTCTGGAAAATTGTGATTCCAAGTCGTTTTTTAAATTAAATTAATTTTTTTAAAAAGAATCTTCACCTGAGGATATCTTTCCATTGATTTTCAGACAGAGCAGGAGGGGGGGGGGGCGGGAGAAAACATCAATGTGAGAGAGATGCATCGAGTGGTTGTCCCCCGCACGACCCCAACCAGGGCTGGGGATTGAACTACAACTGGGGCATGTGCCCTTGACTGGAATCGAACCCAAGACTCTTTGGTCCGCCGGTTGATGCTCTAACCGCTGAGCCCAACAGGCCAGGGCAACGATTCTTGAAACAGTGTATCACTGTACTACATGGACTTTTCCCTCTAAATAAAAAACACACAAAACAAGGGGAAGCAATTTAAATGCAGCACTCTAGGAATCATACCCCTTTATTATGACCATTCAATTCCAACTATTAGTTTCAAGTAAAGTCTGCATTTGTTCCAGTGTCTTTTCCAGTTGCTATTTTTTACTTTATGTCTTAATACAGAGTGAGGAGTACAAACTAGACACTGCAACAGCAGGTATTTATGACTGCCTTTCCCCTTTTCTCTATGAAATAATTTGCCTGCATTTTCCTGTCTGAACCTATCAACTTACAGCAAGAATGGAATGTTAATTGATGTTACGCATAAGCTGGGCTATCATTCCTCAAATTTAACAAGCAAAAAAAAAAAAAATCAAAACCAACTGGGTTTCCTGTTTTTATTTATGGTTTTTAGTGCCCGTTTGGGGGGATCAAAATAAAGTGTCTGTCTCAGTGATGGCTCATTCTTTCCTCAATTAATGTACCCAAGGAGACCGGTTCCTTGCATCTGCTCTTAGGATGACTGTCCAGATCATAAAGCCTATTCAAGTTTCTCCCCAAGGCCCTGCAACAACACGAGAAACTACTTCCTGGGGAAGCCTGCAGCCTACCTCACCCTTCCCACTGGGGAAACACACAGACACGGCCCTTTCTGGTGTGATTATATAAGAATACAAGGGCTTGCCTGACCCAGCCCAAAGCTGAGGCGTATCCTTTAACACCATCTTGTGCTTTGTCTTCTCAAAAATGGTGGTGCATGCTGGACAAATTTATCTTTCAACAATGGGGATGCATGCCAAGGAACCCCCTGTAAACATTCTGATGCCCTAGGTAAAGTATGCAGTGTTGGGAAAGTATGCAAGTGCACATGTCCAGGTTGTAGTATCCATATTTCAGGGCTGGGGAAGCAGAACACTTTTGTAAATTCCATGTTTTTCTAAGGCAAGTTATCTCTCTCTGAGAATATCCAACTCCCCTCCCAATTTTCTACTTCTCAGCTAAGGCTTTCCTGGAATGTGGGGAAATAATTTCTGTTGTGCAGAATATTAGTCTCCTTGCAGGCATTTCCACCCTCGGGTCGCTGTGATTGCCAGAGACAAGGTCATACATTTCTCAACAACACCTTGTACCAGGGGCGTGCTGCACCTCACTGAGAACCACTTCAAGGGTAAAGGTGGACCGTATGTGCCCTATACCCCTACACCCGTGACTTTTTATAACTGGCAACCTGTACTTATTAATCTATTCTCCTTTTTCACCCATCCCTCCCAAACTCCCTCCTGTATGTACGGTGTCAGGTGGGTACAAGACTTATCAGGGTGATTGCTTCGTAAGTTATATAAATGTCTAATCACTGTGCTATACACCTGAAACTAATACTGCTTGTCAAATGTAATTGAATAATTTAAAGGCAGAAACCAATAAAAACAGAACATAAAAAAGATGAGTTATATGTGAAAAATGACATATTTACCCAAGAGGATTCGTTTTCCTACGGCTTAATCTAATGCTTTGAGGGCCATTTCTATAGTTATCATAGAATGGAAGGGATTCTCCACCTCAACTTCATGCCTCAGAGGTTAGTAGCACAGCAAAGGGACATCACTTAGCTTTTTTTAAAAAAAATCTATGCTTGAATTCACTGTATGTAAAACACACATTTCAAAGAGAAGGGTTATCAGTGCCTACTTCCAGGCTCCTCTTTTTATCTTTCGGGTACAGAAGTTCACAAAAATTCCTCTCAGAAACAATGAACTAGAAGGAGAAATAAAAGCTAACCAAACTCAATAGCTGTTATGGCTTTTTAGGTCTGAATGAGACATAGGACAGGACACCATAACTGTCCTTTGCCAAAACAGAGCCCTTTCTCTTTTGTCCTGGATGAGCCTCTGCCCGGTAGGGTGGTGCTACTTGTTTCCGGGTCATCCAAGGTCAGTGCGGATTTTCATTTTTCCTTCACAGTTCGCACCTGAGCTTCAGAGGAGTGTCCCACACACCCGTGCAGACATCGTGGCTGCTCCTCAAGCCAGGGTGCTGCAGGCAGGTCAAGGTGCTAGTGCTCTTGTCCCCGACCTTGAGCTGTGTTTCCCCAGACAATATATATGCAGCTCTGAAAACAGTGTTATGGCAAAAAGCATTTAGAAATGTGTAACTGATTCCTTTCCAGTGGCTAAGCGGCAACAGGCTATTTCTGCAATGGGTCCTGTCCACAGCAGGCCCGGCCCAGATGTGTCCGGGGTTGTATGCAGAATGCTTTCCTCCTACCCACTGCTATGCAAAAAGTGCAGATATTTTGCCCACCAGCTGACCACCAGCTGACCACCGGCAGTAATAACATTAGGGGTATGGAATGGGGGCAGTTTGTCATTCAAAAGAGGAAGAATAAGTTTAATGAAGGAACAGCCCTTTCTCACTCACCACTGAGGTAAGAGCCATCTGAAAACTGTAGATGCGGGCAAGGCCGAAGTCAGCCAGTTTTATTTGTCCACTGCTGGTCACCAGAATGTTCTGTGGTTTTAGATCGCGATGCACTACTCGGTGAGAATGAAGAAAATCCAGACCTCGGAGAAGCTGAAACATCATGTCCTAAATAAGACCCCCCCACAAAAAAAAAAAAATCAATACACAGTCAAAACAGAAATTCAACATGCCAAATCCTCCACATTTAAGAGTACTTGGCACACAGAAAGCATTTGATAAATATTTGCTGAATTAATGAATGTTTCCCTTCCTACCTCTCTACCCTCCCATTCTCAAGATCACTACAAAACATTTTACTCTAGACCTGTATTTTATTAATGAAAGGACAATTTAAAAATAGTTTCAGCCCAGCCAGTGTAGCTCAGTGGATTGAGCGTTGTGCCATGAATTGAGAAGTCCCAGTTTGATTCCCGGTCAGGGTACATGCCTGGATTGTGGGCTTGATCCCCAGTGGGGGTTGTGCAGGAGGCAGCCGATTAATGTTCCTCTCTCTCCCCTCACTTCCTCTTTCTCTAAAAAAAAATAAAAAATAAAAAATAAAAAAAATAAAAATAAAAAAGCTTCAGATGCCATATGAAACATTCTGGAAGAATATATACCAAACTGGTGTCAGTGGTTAATGCTGGGGAGAGGAAGTGGGAGGTGGTGAGAAAGGAATATTTTTTACTTCATATACTTCTACACGGTTTAGTATTTGATCTCAGTAATTACAATCCAGTGAATATTAATAATATTAATGGTAATTATTATTTTATAGCACTAAATATTAAGCAGGAACTGTGTCAAGCACTGTTTGAGTACCTTCTTTCTGATTAGTAACTCACTTGATCTATACCACAACATTAAGGTAAATATATCATCACCCCATTTTACAGGTCAAGAAAGTGATACACCAGTGGGTGTACGTAACTGGCCCAAAGTCACACCACTAGCAAGAGACAGTCTTGATTCAAACAAAGTCCAGAAAAACTGGATATTACATCAATGATCAAATGAAGATGTAAAACCAGGTAAACCATCTAACCTCACTCCCTGAGCCTCAGCTTCCCTGTTTGTAAAATGGTAAAGTACCAAAACCTATTTTGTAGGATCAATGTTTATATAGCACTAAGCACAGTAACAAGCATTCATTAAATGGCAGCTCTTATTGCCACACTTATTAACTAGCATAAAGCAGGGGGGCATTCAGAAAATAAACTAATGTCATCACATCTCTCATTTTAGAACTGATAAAATTAGATACAAGATTTAAAACTCAGGAACAGTGTCTGAAAGTAGAAATCTAAAATTTGACCCTGGTATTATCCTCTGAAATCTGGGGTTAATAAGATTGAGCTACCCCTCAAAATATTGTGAGAATGGCATGTACAAGGGAGGATAGAACAACCTAGTTCAGATTGTTAGAAAAATGATTAGGCAGCATCATTGGCTTTACAGCTGTGGGGCGGGGCTGTGGGGACACACTTGTTCAGCAGCTGGACCACTAACCCTCCCCCGGAAAACAGCACATTTGGTTATTGGTTTAAGGTACTAGTTCTGTCTTCACATCTCAGCTTGTTTAAAACCAAAGCCTTAGCTTTTATTTATAAAATGGAGGAAACAGCGCTTCCTTTTCATAATATTATGAGATTTAAATGAAGTAATGTATGCAAAGGGGCCATTCTGGCACATGGCATCACTTAACAAATGATAATTATTAAAGTGTCTCGTTTCCTGGGCGAGGCAGAGTCACAAACAGCTACAGGAAATGTGCCAGTGCTAAGGGTGGGTCTGCACTGACAGGTGAGCTGGGATCCTTCTGGAGATCCACCTACGTGGACACAGTAATCCCCCCTTATCTGCACTTTCACTCTCCACAATGTCAGCTACCCACAGTCAACTACAATCCAAAAATATTAAATAGAAAATTCCAAAATAAACAATTCTTAAGTTTTAAATGCACTTCTGAGTAGTGTGATAAAATCCTGTGCCGTCTGGCTTGGTCCCACCTGGAACATGGATCATCCCTTTGTCTAGCTTGTCCTAGTTGTATATATACTACCTGGTTGTTAGTCACTTATTGCTCTCTCAGTCATTAGGTTGGTTATCAGATGTTTCGATGGGGGTGGGGGGGTAGGGGAAGAGAGAGAGTAAGCACATTCATATAACTTTTATTACAGTATACAGTTATAATTGTTCTACTTTATTATTGTTGTGGTTAATCTCTTACAGGGCCTAATTTATAGATTAAACTTTATCACAGGGCCCAATTTATAGATTAAACTTTATAGGTATGTAAGTATAGGAAAAAACACAATATGCATTGAGTTTGGTCCTATAGTGACTTCAGGCATCCACTGGTGCTCCTGGAACATACACTCTACCCTGTGGATAAGGGAGGACTACTATCTTCTGAATTGGCAGAAGCTGCCTTCTAAATTTCCAAAGGTGAAAACTCCAGAGAAGACTGTACTGTTGATGGACAGTCAGTCCTTCAAGACAAGAACCACAACAGGTCAAACAACAATGAATGAAAATGAGTGTGAAAATGAAGCACAGAATGTTAAGAAAAGTAGTCTTCTGCTGTGGCCAATGAGTCTTTATTGGAAACATATGCACACACTTGTAAGCACTAAATTTTAAATAGCATGACTAACCTAAAGTAATGTCATGCAGGCTCATCATTTTTAGCTTCTTGTACACTAAGTACCAACCATTTAAAACTGTACAATGAATAAATCTGCTAGGTTCATATTTCAAAGAGTAAATCTGCTTGGTTCAAATAATAAGCAGCAAATTAGCAGAAAAAAATTAAACATTTTAACTAATTAATTAATAATAAGGCTCATCTAACTTTAATAAAAAGCCTAAACTACAGAGTATATAAATGTGTGATGCATTTTTTTGTTGTTGTTAATCCTCACCCGAGGATATTTTTCCACTGATTTTTAGGCAGAGTGGAAGGGAGGGAGGGAGAGAGAGAGAGAAAGAGAAACATCGATGTGAGAGAGACACATCGATTGGTTGCCTCCTGCCTGGGACCAGGGGTCTAACCTGCATCCCAGGTACGTGCCCGCATCCCAGGCACGTGCCCTTGACCGGAAATTGAACCTGAGACCCTTTGGTCCTTGGGCTGACGCTCTAATTGCTGAGCCAAACTTGTTAGGGCAAATGTGCAATGCTCTTATTTGTGCATTTATTTATATAGCACATACTATATTTTTCTTAATTATAAAATTGGTGCATGCTTAATGCAGAAAATTATAAAATTAAAATTCCATAAGAAGGACAAAAATCACTCAACGTCTTACCCTTCAGAGAACAGAGAAACATTCACTATTAATTTTTGTGTCGTTCTTGTCTGTGTTTCAAAAACTACGTGTACTGCTAATATTTGTAGGTATAAATATAATGTATATTTATATTATTATAGTTTACATAAATATTATAATAAATACAATTTATATAAATATGATCTATTTGAGCCATAGTATATTAAAAATATTGATAAATAAAAATGGTTGTTGCCCTGGCAGGTGTAGCTCCGTGGTTACAGTGTCAGCCTACACACTAAAGGGTTACAGGTTTGATTCCTGGTCAAAGGCATATATCTGGGTTGCAGATTCAATCCCTGGCCCCAGTCAACACATGTGGGAGGCAACCAATCAATGTGTCTCTCTCACATTGATGTTTTGCTCTGTCTCTCCATCTATCCCCCCCCTTCCACTCTCTCTAAAAATCAATGGAAAAAATATCCTCAGGTGAGGATTAACAACAACAAAAAGGGTTATTATTCTGTACATATTATTTTGTTGTTTTTTTAAAAAAATGTATAATGATTCATTGCAAATATTTTGCCACTACAACAAGACTTCTTCAAATTTTTAATGGCTGCATGGTTTTCCTCCCTGCAATATGCCATAATCACTATTTGGTTTTAGTTGTGTTATTTTGGGACTTATAATAAGAGTCTAGTTCTCCTTTGTTGAAAGGCGAAAATGACTTAACATCACATCTAAGCTGAGGGTAAGCAGTGCAAACCCACATAACTGCACTAACACTGATTCTGTGTAAATGACGCCTATTAACGTAGGAAAAGTCCGTTCTACATAAGAATTATCATTCTTCAGATTTTGTTAGGCTACTTTAAAATACTTTTTGGTTAGTAAACTGGATTTTCTTTGAAACCTACAATATCTAGCCACAGTTAGATTTTCGAACTAGTGAGCCTTTGAATTAATGATTTTTTAAAAATCTTGTTACCTTCAGTAATTCAATTGTGAGGTAGGTTGATGAACACAGTAGATCTGCGTTAAATATGATTTGGGGAGCTCCCCCCCTCAACTTTAACCTTCATTCACTGTAATACCTAATCTCAAATGAAAAATACACTCAACTATCTCAGAAACTCTGGTCACTATTAAGACATGGTCCCAAGTCTTGAGAATAATATGAATGAATAAGTTGTAACACTACACAAAGTACAAAAAAACACAAGGTATGAAACAACAAAATTAAGACATGGTTCCAATTCTTGAGAATCATATGAATGAATAAGTCAATAGGAAAAAACACCTTTCCTATAGAATCACAAGTAGTATTCCGATCAAAGACATTTCAAAGGATTCTCTGCTTAATGTTTATTATCTGTTCTATCTCAATTTATAGTATCATGAGACATACTTTTAAATGAGCTCCTCAAGATTTTAATCTAAATTAATCTGCCTTATACAAGACTCAAATATTTCCCAGTAATCTTAGTGACGCAATGCAAAGATACTGCAATTAAGGCTCTTTAAGTTAAACACAGGTTAATCCTTTTTATGTTACAATGCACAGTCCTGGAATAAAAGGTTGGAACTCCTAGCCATACTGATGATAAACAGGGACTTGGGCCTCACTCTGTATCTTTCTGAAACACATGATGGTAAAGCATGTTTCAACAGGACACCATTGTGGAATGAAGTTTGACTTCCAGTGACTTTAGGTGGGTTTTTGTCCTTGGTAACTCCCCTAGAAAGATTCTGGACTTCAGTTTGAAAACCAGAAATCTTTAATGCCTTGCAATTGTTTCTTTTAAGTGTTCTAGAACTCTAATCCTCTTATTTCTTTAAAAACAAAACAAA